AGCTCAATCAAAATTAAAAGTTCAATCAGATTGAAACGGATTGTATAGATCTTAAATAATCTTATCAACTGGAAAAAAAACTAAGCATGTAAACATGTGAATACAATCTTTTGGTTTACATATGCTTTTTGTCTTACAAACATGCATATGTTTATCATTGTCTTACAATTCAGTGGAGAAGACTGAATATTTACTATATATTTGCACACAAAAAAAACTCTTCTGAGCTTTACCAAGTTTTCCTATTAGATATGTCAGCAAAGCAAAAATTTAAATTATTCTTATGATAGCTTCTGCAACATCATTGTAAAAGCTTTCTTCCAGTTTTGAACGCGGTGACTGGGCACTGCACATGCGTTGAATTTTTGATTGGAATACAGTGTATGAAAACGTAAACGTAATTGAGAGTCGGATTGCAAAGTTTAGGGTTGATAACAGAACTTTTCAGAATAAAAATTCCCAAACTTGCTGCAAAGAACATTTATTGACGAAATACGAACTGCATACTTCACTATTCTAGAAAACCATAATCACATCACTACTAAGAGGTCGACCGATAGTGGATTTTACAATACGATAGTTAGGTTGGACCACACTGGCCGATACAGATTAATCAATTGATATTTAAAAAAAAAACTTTGTACATGAATAAAATTATTAATATTAAATATTAATTAGTTCATTAACTAATGTTAACAGAAGCAACTTCAAAATTTAAAAATGTTTTAATAGATGTTGAAATTTGCACACTCTAGATGACCATCTTTAAATATCTAGACATAGAATTGAAATTACATACATATGGATATTGTATATTCTCACCGTTTAATTGCTTCTATTCTAGAACACGTGATGATTATCTAATCAAAATAACAAAATATGGCAGTCGTACACCGGGCAAAAAGCACAGCGTCACGTCTAGGACTAGTGGGTATCAGGAATCACACACAGCGGACGCGTCGCATTCAGTTCAAGCGGTGGTCTAAAACAGTTTATTTAATCACCAAACGGGTAAAAGTTCACTTCAAGAATGATCAAAAAAAGTGGCATAGATGAGTTTGAAGTTTGGGGTTTAAAAAAAAAAAACTGGAGCAAAACAGAAAGAAAAAGTGTGATCTATATTGCAGCTCTCTGTATGAAGCATACAGACTTTATTGAAGCCACAGAAAGACAAACAATTTTACAGCCTAGGATGAAGTCATTATGTACATTAACAATGATTTAGGACAAACATAAATGTAATTTACTGGAAAACTCAGCCTCATGTGTCAAAACAAACAGTCAGAGTACTGTATAACTGTATAGTCAGCCACTCCAGCAACAGAAGCAAAACTATCGGCATGGATTTTTGCAGATAACCGATAGTTCCTGCAATCAACTATCAGTGCCAATTAAACGGCAAACGATACATCAGTTGACCTCTAATCACTACAGGCATTATACCTGCACTGCTCAGGTCCAAAAGCAACTGGAATCGTTCGGCCCGTTGGTGGAAAAACACTTCCTGAAACAAATTCCACACTTCACCTGTCAAAATAACTATATCATGAAGTAATATAGCCTGAACACACGCAGGCAAATGGATGCTGTAGCGTGTGATGGTCCAACAAGCACTACTTTGTGAATGAACAGCACAGAAGCTAGAAAAACCGGTCTCTACAGGTGCAACAAGACTTCTCGGCTATTAAACCGAGAGCTCAAGTTTACTTACAAACACACTAGCTGCCTGCGGACATAGATAATCAGACATGCATTAGGCTACATGCTGATCAGTATAAAGGAGGGGATGCTGAACTTTATACAACCTGTATGTGCCGAGTTTTTAACACATTTGAGCTCTAGTCATAGCACGCATGATGCAAATCTGTAGCATGTACACTGTGATGGCCACTACAGCCATTTATGTGGTTAATGACAGCTGAGGTGACGCTTCAAACGGGTCTAAAATTAACAGGTTTACAAGCTAATACAACAAAGTGCTCTTCTAACCGGGCGACACAGCAAATACCAAACACTTGGTTAACTAGTCGAAGCACACAATTACCAACTATTTCGACTAGCAAGCTCAGAAACAGCAGAACTGCATGTCTCTGAACTCGGGCTGGATTGTGTTTATGTTCATAATTTGAGCAAAATTCATCCCACTGAACAAAGTAGGAGTACTTGCCACATTTGAGACAAACTGAGAGACTTTTGCGCACTCACAAAGCGCTAGTTTGGCTTTTCGAGTGGCCAGCCATGCACTTTTAATATCTTAAAGTCTCAAAAGTGCACTCAATACATTTCTGTGTTATGTTTAGACAGATTCATGTTTACGACACGGTTGGTCATGTGACCTCAATAGCGGCGCCCATGAAAGGGCGACCCGCTCCATGTAAAACAAATACGCTTTTTCTATAAAACTGCTATGAATATTCGCTTTATGAGAGATTAACATTTCTCAAAAGTGCTTTTAACAAAAGCGAGCGAACGCATGGTTGCCGACAAAACATTATATTTTTTTTGTTTTTAAAAAAAGGGTCTAAATGCAAATGGTCAAACTTACTAACGTGTGAACTTCCTAGTAAGCAATAATAACTGCGTGCACATTTATAACAGTATCACAGCGACCATAAACTAAAACGTTGCTTTCAGAAACTGTCCCGGGACATTCGCTTTCTTTCCTGCACTTTCAGCTGGAACTCTTTTCAACGTGATGATCTGAAACACAAATGCGATGATGACCAGACTGATGCAACGCCTAACAAAAATGTCATCTGCACAGCGGACGCGTCGCATTCAGTTCAAGCGGTGGTCTAAAACAGTTTATTTAATCACCAAACGGGTAAAAGTTCACTTCAAGAATGATCAAAAAAAGTGGCATAGATGAGTTTGAAGTTTGGGGTTTAAAAAAAAAAAAACCGGAGCAAAACAGAAAGAAAAAGTGTGATCTATATTGCAGCTCTCTGTATGAAGCATACAGACTTTATTGAAGCCACAGAAAGACAAACAATTTTTACAGCCTAGGATGAAGTCATTATGTACATTAACAATGATTTAGGACAAACATAAATGTAATTTACTGGAAAACTCAGCCTCATGTGTCAAAACAAACAGTCAGAGTACTGTATAACTGTATAGTCAGCCACTCCAGCAACAGAAGCAAAACTATCGGCATGGATTTTTGCAGATAACCGATAGTTCCTGCAATCAACTATCAGTGCCCATTAAACGGCAAACGATACATCAGTTGACCTCTAAGCACTACAGGCATTATACCTGCACTGCTCAGGTCCAAAAGCAACTGGAATCGTTCGGCCCGTTGGTGGAAAAACACTTCCTGAAACAAATTACACACTTCACCTGTCAAAATAACTATATCATGAAGTAATATAGCCTGAACACACGCAGGCAAATGGATGCTGTAGCGTGTGATGGTCCAACAAGCACTACTTTGTGAATGAACAGCACAGAAGCTAGAGAAACAGGTCTCTACAGGTGCAACAAGACTTCTCGGCTATTAAACCGAGAGCTCAAGTTTACTTACAAACACACTAGCTGCCTGCGGACATAGATAATCAGACATGCATTAGGCTACATGCTGATCAGTATAAAGGAGGGGATGCTGAACTTTATACAACCTGTATGTGCCGAGTTTTTAACACATTTGAGCTCTAGTCATCGCACGCATGATGCAAATCTGTAGCATGTACACTGTGATGGCCACTACAGCCATTTATGTGGTTAATGACAGCTGAGGTGACGCTTCAAACGGGTCTAAAATTAACAGGTTTACAAGCTAATACAACAAAGTGCTCTTCTAACCAGGCGACACAGCAAATACCAAACACTTGGTTAACTAGTCGAAGCACACAATTATCAACTATTTCGACTAGCAAGCTCAGAAACAGCAGAACTGCATGTCTCTGAACTCGGTCTGGATTGTGTTTATGTTCATAATTTGAGCAAAATTCATCCCACTGAACAAAGTAGGAGTACTTGCCACACTTGAGACAAACTGAGAGACTTTTGCGCACTCACAAAGCGCTAGTTTGGCTTTTCGAGTGGCCAGCCATGCACTTTTAATATCTTAAAGTCTCAAAAGTGCACTCAATACATTTTTGTGTTATGTTTAGACAGATTCATGTTTACGACACGGTTGGTCATGTGACCTCAATAGCGGCGCCCATGAAAGGGCGACCCGCTCCATGTAAAACAAATACGCTTTTTCTATAAAACTGCTATGAATATTCGCTTTATGAGAGATTAACATTTCTCAAAAGTGCTTTTAACAAAAGCGAGCGAACGCATGGTTGCCGACAAAACATTATATTTTTTTTGTTTTTAAAAAAAGGGTCTAAATGCAAATGGTCAAACTTACTAACGTGTGAACTTCCTAGTAAGCAATAATAACTGCGTGCACATTTATAACAGTATCACAGCGACCATAAACTAAAACGTTGCTTTCAGAAACTGTCCCGGGACATTCGCTTTCTTTCCTGCACTTTCAGCTGGAACTCTTTTCAACGTGATGATCTGAAACACAAATGCGATGATGACCAGACTGATGCAACGCCTAACAAAAATGTCATCTGGTTCCATTAGATGGGCAGCAGTTGGATTTTTACATGCACAAAAGTTTGATCGACAACTATTACTTGATTCCCTAAACTTTGGATGCATTATGATGTTATATACATGATATCCAAACAGTGCATTGGTGGAGATTATACCCGTTATTATTCATTAACCCTCGTGTATGAACAAAACTCGTAGGACTGACTAATGGAAAGCACAAAACATCAGGCAAACTCGCTTCTCTGTTACTGTCACACGAGTTTTGAACAACATGAGGGCGACTAGATGATTTAATTTCGGGGTGAAGTAAGCGACCTGTGAAGCCGACTGGACTGTCTCTGGACTCATTTGACAGCTGCGTGAATAAAGGCGTTACAGTGCTTCACAAGAGGTTATCAGAAGAGTATTTAGCAGGTTTGGGATCAGGCCTGCTGGACTGTTACCTGAAGCGTCCGGAGCAGGTGCCGTCAGCTTCGCTCGCTTCGCGCTCGGAGGGCCACTTTCCAGCACATTCTCAGCCATTGCGATTAAAATTAGCTTCTGGCCGAATGTCGTGGAGGAAAATTGAAAGTGAAGGATCCTTTCGTCAGAAAAACACAGGTTACCTTACTTTTTGAAAGACGTGGGGAGTGTGGAGCGGCTCGGCGGAGGATTTTCTCAAAAAAGCAGCAACAGCGCCCCGCGTCGCCACCACCATTCACCCCATGATAATCCAACACCCAACACCCACATTATCATCGTTATATTACCGAGAGAAAACGCGAATTCAACGTTAAATCCCAAATAAAATATCCACAGGAGTCCTCGCGCGCGAAAGTCGTTAATTTTGCAACGGCACGCGATCCATTTTCTGACGTCAATTTTTTTCCCGTGCAAAAATCGTCTGGCTCCGTGTAAAAATGCACGGTTGCATAAAAATGAGATCTTTTTGCAAAAAGTCTCCTCGGCGCTGTCTGTCCTCCAAAAGCGTCCGGTAAACAATAACCGCTCGGAGCGAAATACGGACGCAAGCGCCGCTCTGAAGGGGAAATTAGATATACGAGGGTTTTGTGGCCGACGAACGCCGATTAAATCCAGGATTTTTCGCCAAAAATTCCTTCGCGGCGATATAAAGGTGTCATTGCCCGCTGAACGGTGTCGTCAAAGCTCGATTTAGATGCTCCGTGTCCAAAAATAAAAAATAGTGTCTATGAAATCCTGATTCCGAGCCCAGACAAGATGGCGGCTGTTGATTCCTTCGATACAAAAAGTTTTTTTTCTTTTTCCAGATAGACGGAGCCGAGGGGGAGGAGCGCAATCACGCCCTACGTCAAACCTGCGGTCAGCGCGCGACGCGGCCGCTAGAGGCGCTAGACGATCACAAATCTGCACTGGACTGTCATTTACGCATCGGTAATTGTTATTTACGTCGAAGACTAAATCATATTGGGACGGAAATAGTTTTGCATTTTAGCCAATATTATAGTTTGCTTTGAAACAAGTTGTTGAGAAGCAGTGCGAATTATAGAAACTTCAAATATTAAACTTACATTTTTATATTCGGATAGTTTATGACTAGAACTTTTTTTTTTTTGTCTTAAATTATATTCTGACCCTCATAAAACATACACATCTCTTCTGATATTATCCTATCCATTTAAAACATTCATAAGTAACGGTTAATCATGATTTAAATCACCATTATAAAAAAAAACTATCCAGTTCTTCCACACATAAAACAGACACATGCCGCTTCTGGTATCTTTTCATTGTTTCTCTACTCTCGAAATCTGGCACATGCACATGTATCATCAACATTGAAACATGAAAATCAAATACAACAATACATGATTATGTACATACAAAGTGAGTGCACTGTGCAAATGTATACAGATTATGCTTTTTGCCTGAATATAGCGGCTAATAAATCAATACCCGCTGTGTTTCATGTACATAAGAACAAATTATTGAAGAACATGTGCTGCTGGGAAAAAAACAACAACAACAAAAATATCTTGCCCACATTCCACAGCTCTGTCTTACAGCTTCTGCCCACACCATTAAAATTCTTTGGTATACACATTCCCATATATGGCACAAAAATAATTAATACAAGCATGTGAAGTCATATTTAAGGGCACATTTTTAACACTCTTGAGCACCAAAACAAATGTGCAGATTTGCACTCAAATATTTCTCAGCCAATTAAGATTTGTTCAAATTTATACAAAACAAAACTGTGACGCAGTGTAATTCACGTGACAATGGCAAAAAAATTGAAAATAAAAACAACATATGATTCTCCAAACTGAAATCAATCCTTGATTTTCAAAACTACAATGCAGCAAACCTACAAGTACGCGGGCAGTGGTGAGAAAGTGGGAACAATCACATAAAACAAGATTAAATTCACACTTTTCCATTTTAGTTCATTTAAAATATCATAAAACTTTAGTAGAATTGAATCGGAGGCACTTTTCAAGAGTTTAGGCCTTAGGTGCTTGTTACGTTAGGGGAAACTGGGCGGCTCGCATGGACGTATAGACCCATTTCTCCTTGCTTTAAGTGGCTCCCTTTCATAAATATGCCCTTTTGATATTAGGCTCTGTGGCTGCACACAGATTCATGCACAGCCCCAATAAATACAAATGCATTTAATACAAAACCACATACATTATGCACAATTAATTATAATTCAATACTGTCAGCACTGGGCTTCTTTAGCCAATGGAGTGATACAATAACTCAAAGGTGAATGTGTTGGCTGGAAAGCAGTGCACCATAAAACAATTAACAGCAAAATCAAATCCCTTTTCCATCCCGAAAAGTTTCATTTAAAGATACACTGTACTTTTTTTTTTCTTTCTTTTTTTTAAAGGCTGGAATTATATTTCACATCAAAGAGGAAATAATAATATGATACAAATAAATCCAGGATTTTTCGCCAAAAATTCCTTCGCGGCGATATAAAGGTGTCATTGCCCGCTGAACGGTGTCGTCAAAGCTCGATTTAGATGCTCCGTGTCCAAAAATAAAAAATAGTGCTCTATCGAAATCCTGATTCCGAGCCCAGACAAGATGGCGGCTGTTGATTCCTTCGATACAAAAAGTTTTTTTTCTTTTTCCAGATAGACGGAGCCGAGGGGGAGGAGCGCAATCACGCCCTACGTCAAACCTGCGGTCAGCGCGCGACGCGGCCGCTAGAGGCGCTAGACGATCACAAATCTGCACTGGACTGTCATTTACGCATCGGTAATTGTTATTTACGTCGAAGACTAAATATTGGGACGGAAATAGTTTTGCATTTTAGCCAATATTATAGTTTGCTTTGAAACAAGTTGTTGAGAAGCAGTGCGAATTATAGAAACTTCAAATATTAAACTTACATTTTTATATTCGGATAGTTTATGACTAGAACTTTTTTTTTTTTGTCTTAAATTATATTCTGACCCTCATAAAACATACACATCTCTTCTGATATTATCCTATCCATTTAAAACATTCATAAGTAACGGTTAATCATGATTTAAATCACCATTATAAAAAAAAACTATCCAGTTCTTCCACACATAAAACAGACACATGCCGCTTCTGGTATCTTTTCATTGTTTGTCTTAAATTATATTCTGACCCTCATAAAACATACACATCTCTTCTGATATTATCCTATCCATTTAAAACATTCATAAGTAACGGTTAATCATGATTTAAATCACCATTATAAAAAAAACTATCCAGTTCTTCCACACATAAAACAGACACATGCCGCTTCTGGTATCTTTTCATTGTTTCTCTACTCTCGAAATCTGGCACATGCACATGTATCATCAACATTGAAACATGAAAATCAAATACAACAATACATGATTATGTACATACAAAGTGAGTGCACTGTGCAAATGTATACAGATTATGCTTTTTGCCTGAATATAGCGGCTAATAAATCAATACCCGCTGTGTTTCATGTACATAAGAACAAATTATTGAAGAACATGTGCTGCTGGGAAAAAAACAACAACAACAAAAATATCTTGCCCACATTCCACAGCTCTGTCTTACAGCTTCTGCCCACACCATTAAAATTCTTTGGTATACACATTCCCATATATGGCACAAAAATAATTAATACAAGCATGTGAAGTCATATTTAAGGGCACATTTTTAACACTCTTGAGCACCAAAACAAATGTGCAGATTTGCACTCAAATATTTCTCAGCCAATTAAGATTTGTTCAAATTTATACAAAACAAAACTGTGACGCAGTGTAATTCACGTGACAATGGCAAAAAAATTGAAAATAAAAACAACATATGATTCTCCAAACTGAAATCAATCCTTGATTTTCAAAACTACAATGCAGCAAACCTACAAGTACGCGGGCAGTGGTGAGAAAGTGGGAACAATCACATAAAACAAGATTAAATTCACACTTTTCCATTTTAGTTCATTTAAAATATCATAAAACTTTAGTAGAATTGAATCGGAGGCACTTTTCAAGAGTTTAGGCCTTAGGTGCTTGTTACGTTAGGGGAAACTGGGCGGCTCGCATGGACGTATAGACCCATTTCTCCTTGCTTTAAGTGGCTCCCTTTCATAAATATGCCCTTTTGATATTAGGCTCTGTGGCTGCACACAGATTCATGCACAGCCCCAATAAATACAAATGCATTTAATACAAAACCACATACATTATGCACAATTAATTATAATTCAATACTGTCAGCACTGGGCTTCTTTAGCCAATGGAGTGATACAATAACTCAAAGGTGAATGTGTTGGCTGGAAAGCAGTGCACCATAAAACAATTAACAGCAAAATCAAATCCCTTTTCCATCCCGAAAAGTTTCATTTAAAGATACACTGTACTTTTTTTTTTCTTTCTTTTTTTTAAAGGCTGGAATTATATTTCACATCAAAGAGGAAATAATAATATGATACAAAAACATAAAATTGCAGGTGTTCTGAAAGCTGCGGCATCAAAAGACACACTGATAGTTTGACTCTGAAGCAACCTGGTATTACAACTGAGGGAAAAAGAAAATGAATGAACAAAAAAAGCACTGGATTTTTTTTCCATTTTTGAGAACAAAGTAGTGATTGCTCTGTAAACAGAAATAAAGAAAGAAATCTGTCCTCAAACCTCAGAGCCAAGCTTATTCACTATACATGATGGCAGAGGATACAGATCCAACCGGTGTGGACTAATAAAGGACTTGCTTTGAGAAACTAAAATTGCTTTGCTCGACTGATGATTGAAATGTAAGACACATCGCGAGATATACTGCAGATTATTCTCTAGTGTTCTGAACTCATCAGCAACAAAAAAATCAGTTAAAGAAAAGCAAAGAAAATCAGATCTCTGCACAAATGTCGAAAAAAAAAATGTCAACAGAATTGACACTCAAAAAAAAAAAAAAAACTATCAGATACAAATCTTTTTTAAAAAGTAGGCAGAATAAATGCATTATAACAAAATTGCAAGCCGCTCGCCAAATATAGCAACACAAGAACCTTCTTCCTCAAGGCCATGGAGTGAACGGGTATCTCAAGTGCAGTGTGATCAACAAAAACTATAGCAATACCAACTCCGACTCTGCTGGCATGATCACAGTGAAAAACAACTGATTCGAATATGAAAAGGTTTGAGGCACTGAATGAAATGAATTAAAATGCACTGATAAACAAATTCATACAAAATCTGTTCAACTGAACCCTTCATTGAAGGTTTCGCTGGCTGGAGTTTACTGGAGGGAAAAACACAGTGGCACTCGTTCTGCTGTGTTAAGATCCTTAAATACGGTTAAGTGCCATGCTGAAAAAATTGATTTATTAATTTAATTTTGAATCCTGTAGGACATTCCCTCAGGCAATGAGAAACACTAAATTGTGGGGCTAAATTTTATGCAAAAAAAATGCACTGAACCTCCAAACACAGCATGTTTTCAACAAACATTATACTCTGAATATCCCAATGCATTACAATCATCGGCCCTTGTGTCCTCTAATGAAGGGGAGAGAGCGCACAGCATGGTTTCTGCCATCCTTATTGATTGCGATTCAAAAAATAAGGCTGACTGTGCTGTTTTTCCTCATTTTATGAGTTTAGGGTGCTACTGTGCGTGAGACATTTTACCTCCCATTGATAAAAGCTACATTGTTTCCTGCCATATATACTGGATATTAATATGGGCATTGTGGACAGAAGTGCCGGAAGCCCATCTTTATCTATCTGCCCTTGCCTTAGTTTCATTGTAATGTGATATAGGTGACTGCCCACATAGTAGAGCAGTGAAACTAATATACTGCATATTCATTATAATAACCTTAAAACATTAGCCTGTAATCCTGTTTCTAATTAGCAATTGGCTCGTTTTTGATTATTTTGTCTCAAAGAGAGAGAAAGAAATACTGAAATAAATGAAAAAATTAACATGGTATTAGAGGTGTAATACATTACAAAAAACAGCATTTTTCTCGGTCCACATCTTTTTTTTTCTTCAAAAAACCATGCTGATATATTTGTTCAAACATTTCTTTCATTTGTTCATTTGACTGATCTTACATATTGTGAAGGCACTTTATAAACAAAAAAAAATTGGAGAACATCAGAAATATTAACTCCATCCATTTGCCCCTCTGTGCTACACTGTGATCCACAAAGCAGATGCTTACCGCACCCATTTTTCTATTTAGGTCACGTTATCAACACATATGCCCTACATAGGCTAATGCTACTCATTGGAACTCCAACAGTTGTGGTCGGAAAAGCAGGAAGGAAGTAGAGCCTGAAAATTAACTGCTGATTGGCTCTTGACGAAGGTCAGCTGAGGTGAGGAGGAAATTTTAATCACTCCATTGCCCTGAGCTTTGTACGCTCATCTGCCTCGTCTTCTTCCTCTCCTTGTAAAGGTGTCTCTGGTCTGGCTAATGGTGCATATAGTTGTGCTATTGATTGAGGTTGTGTACCACTTAGCGATGGTGCTTGATAAGGACTCTGGTAATCCTTTTCTTTGAGCTCTGGGAGAGGAGAATTGTCTTTAGAGTCTTGGTGCAACTCCTCTGTAATCTGAGACGGGCCTAATCCACGGCCCTGAGGCACACCGTGGCCACTGATAGAGGCAACATTGGGAGAGGTGGATGGGGGGTTTAGTGGTGCAGCGGATGTTCTTGTTGTTGCATTGGCAAGTGTTGTGGGCTCTAAATGCACAACAGCACCATCCACCTGGCCTTGTTCCAGGCTTTGTGTGGACCCTGATCTGCCTTCATTCATTTGGGGATACAGGTAAGTCCTCATCTGCCCTTTCCCTTTCACGTTTACAGTGCCACGATAATCAAAGGCGTAGTTCATTCTATTAAGCACACAGTGGCTCTCTTCGCTAACCTGTATGCGGCACTCCACTCCCGTGCTGTCCATGCGGCTAGCGATGTTGACCGTGTCGCCCCATATGTCGTAAAGCAGCTTGGTAGTGCCGATGACGCCGGCAGTCAGGGGCCCGTGGTTGAAGCCAATTCGCAGCTTGAACTTGAAACCCAACATGTTCTTGTTAAAATCGTCCACCACACGCATCATTTCAAGGGCAAAGTCAAAGAGGGCACGTAGGTGGGTGTGCGGGTGGGGCTGCTCTTGGCACTGCTGCCCATTTAATCCAGACGCTGCCATATAGGTGGCACCAATGGTTTTAATCTTCTCTACATTTGAGAATGCAGGCTTGCGCAACAGTTCGTCAAAGTCTCCGATGAGTTCATTAAGTACTCTGTAGCACTCTTTCCCACCCTCATAGCTCTCTTCGTAGAACTCGCTGAAGTTGACAATACTCGCGAAGATGACTCCGACGTTCTCGTGATTTTTAGAGTAACTCTGGTTCACCTCCAGCTGCTCGGCAACATGGATGGGGATGATGTTACGCAGCAGCCAGTCCGCTTGATCTCGCATGGTCTGGATCTTGATGCGATGCTTGTCAGCTTCCACATTCCCGTGGTAATGCAGGCGGTAGCTGACCTCGAATTCCCGGTTGAGAAACCAAACCAGCATCAGCAGGAGGAAGAAGGAGAGTACGGTCTCTAGGACGAGCAGGTCGAGCGCTGTGGGCCCAGAGTCCAACTCACCTGTCTGATCTACTTCGGCACTCTGGTTACTCATGTTCCTGAAGGCAAGAGAAAGAGATTTCAGATTTGAGTGGTGTGTTCTACAGAATAATAACACCAACAATAGAAGGTGCTCAAAAACACCCTTTCATTTTTAAGATGTTTTAAGTCTTCAACCATGGCTGGAGCTAGGGGTGAGTGGACTTGTCACCTTTTCTTTATCATATGGCATTTTGACATTTAAGCATGCATTAACCTGAGATTAAAGCCTGGAATATGCTACCTAACCTTTGCACAGATTTTTGCCTCAATTTGCAGTTTGAATGAGACTGCACTAGTTACGGAAATTAAAAGCCAGTCTGCAGATTTTCAGGAATCGGACTTGATGGATTTCTCTCTCTCACACACACACACACACACACACAATTGCATGGTGATGATGGGCACAGACTATAATTTTTTAGCTTCAGAGTTCAGACTATGAGACCATTCAGTAGGAGAATTTCAATCATGTCTGATATTTTGAGCCGATTTTCGAACACATATTGTTGTAATTTATCATGTCTCATAGCAATGAGACATGTTTCTACGTGAGTTTGTTGCGTTTGGGACAACTTGAAAGTCTGGTAGTGTATAATTAGAAAATAGTTTATAATAGAACATAGATATGGTGAATTTTGATTTAATGTCAACTAAGATTAATTGACCCCTTTTAATTTTAGTTAGAGTCATATTAATTATGTCCATAAAATGACTTCCTGCTTATTTCATGATTTATAAAAGTGCATCATATTTTATCATCACACATTAATATACAAAATGTAAAATCTCAACCATCTTACAAATGTCAGCTCAAATCAGAGTTGGCATTAGTAATAGTTTTCTTGACATAAGTTAATAAAACACTCACCTAGAAGCTGGAAAACTGTCAGTGGCGCTGCAAAAAGAAAATGGTTTTCATCATAAATCAGAGTTCTCTACAGCGACCATACGTGTCCACCGGACTCTATGGTAGAGGTCTGCTACCCGACGGGTCCAGAAATACTTTCGGGTTGGGTTCGGGTTCATGTTTAATGAATAGCTTCGGGTTCGGGGTTATAGCTAAACTAAAACTATATGCAGGCTACGCTGCTTTCATAGACGCACGCACACACATTATTGCACACGACAACACACCAAGGAAACTTTTATTAGTAAAATAGCTTCGACAGGCTACTGAATCGCAACGTTATATTTCTCTGCAATGAGGGGGTAAAAATCGCTGTTTTTGAAGGAACTAAGCCTCTTTGCTTGTAGAGAGAGACGAGCAAACGCAGGTTCACACACGCAACTTTCATCTCTCTCTCTCTCTCTCGCGCGCTCTAATTGAAATAAATGATATAATTAGCCTAATTAATTCAAATAAATGCAATCTTACCGCACTGCATCTGTGTCTGATTTAAAGCAGGCTCAATGCTAACGAGCCTTAGCTGACGAAAATGACCATAATTTGCACGATGGAAGAATTATCGTCTTGTCGTATACAACCATTCAAAAACTCGGCAGAATTTATGTGACCGAAGCACCTATTGTTCATAAAATTTCATAACTGGTAAGTGTTTTTTCTTTTGCCTTGTGAACTGGCCGAGCCTTAATGATTCTTTTTCTTTACATGTATTTGCTTACTGACCATTGCATGCAATCGTAAAATACAGCATTTTTTAAAATTGGCTATTTCGTCGTGGGAAAAAATATATATAATTTCGGGTTCGGTCTCTAAATTGAACTGTGCCGCTCGGGTCGGGTCAGACGATCTCGGGTACGGGTCGGGATCGGGCTTCACTTTAAAGTCCGCGCAGACCTCTACTCTGGAAGCTGAGTGGCAGGTTTGCGTGGGGGATTGTGGAATTGATTGCTTTCAATATTAAATTATTTATTAAATGATTTTTACAGGCATACTTCTGTTGTTTTGGGTGGTATTGGATGGATTTCTTCAGCACTGGTGGACATGTACCATCATTGAACAGCCATGAGAGTAAAAAAAAATCACAAAACCATACAATCTTCTAAAACTATGTTTTCATTTTAAGCAATAGTTCACCCAAAAATGAATATTTGCTGAAAACTGACTCACTCTCAGGACATCCAAGATGTAGATAAGTTTGTTTCTTCATCAGAAGAAATTTGGAGAAATTTACTCCATTTACAATCACTTGCTTACCTCTGCAGTGAATGGGTGCCGTCAGAATAAGTTCAAATGGCTGACAAAAACATAATTTTGGACAATTTTCGCTTGTAAACGGAGCTTGATCTGTGCATATTTCTCTCCTGATTCAGATGATAACTTTTTCACTGGAGAAAGCAATATTATGGATAGAAGACTATTTTAGCTAGAAGCAATGGTTTGAATTTAAAATGATGGATTTGTTTCTTACAAACATGCAGCTTTTCTCGTCACAAGATGTTAACTGATGGACTGGAGTGGATTACTGTGATGTTTTTATCAACTGTTTGGACTCTCATACTGACGGCACCCATTCAACTGCAGAGGATTCATTGGTGAGCAAGTGATGTAATGCTAAATTTCTACAAATCTGTTCCCATGAAGAAACAAGCTCATCTACAAATTGGATGGCCTGAGAGCGAGTAAATCTTTAGCAAATTTTAATTTCCTTTTATTAATACACTAAGTTTATAATGGTAAAGTTTGTTGATACATTGCTGGCTGAACGGGTAACAAAAGTTGAGGCTGTCTAACCTGGGCCTAGTGGTGGCACTGTAGAGCAGGATGAGTAAAGACAAACCAGCTACAGTGGCCAGAGTTGAGCGCATCCAGAAACTCAGCTGGCAGAAGTTACAGTACTGGATAATAGCAATAATGAGAGCACAGCACAGGAACATGGTCACCTACACATCCAGAAAAGAAAAAAGCACATTTAAACAGTCAACCAATCACAGATACGCATATTTACAAACTGAGGCTGCGGGACTGTCTGTGTACTTAGACTTGTAATGAGCTTGTCAGCATAAAGTACATACAAATATAAAAGCCTCAAATCATACTGAACACTGGCTGCTGAGATGTTCGGCACAGTTTCGCATGTCATATTATGGCTTGATCCTGAAGAGTAACATCTTTGAAGCTTTAAACTCTTCCTCCAATTACCAGGCTTTCAAAGACACACTTTGATCTAACAGGCTTCAAGAAACTGTGCAAAAATTTACTTGAAGATGAAGATATCTTGTAGAGATAGTACCAACTCGATACTAAAATAATAAAAACAAAACCAACCAACTGATGCAAAGCTGAATTTTCAGCATCATTACTCCAGTCTTCAGTGTCACATGATCTTTTAGAAAACATTATCACTTCGTATTATAACTTCGAGTAGTGTTCGACCGATATAGGTTTTTTGACAGCCGATGCCGATATCTTGGAAAGCAGGGTGGCCGATGGCCAATATAATTGTATTTATTTTAATTAATATATATATATATATATATTTTTTTTTTTATAAAGTCAAGGTAACACTCATTTTACATATAGCACACAGTGAAAATGACATGAATATGGCAGTGGGCAAAAGCATAAAGCGCAGCATAATTTGACATCACGAGTTTAAAGTTTGTCGATCGCGCGTCTCCAGTGAAGCTGAACTCTCCTCCTGTCAGCATTCAATTCATATGAACCAACCGTCACGCAGAGCACACGCGATCATGCAGGACACGAATGCACACTTCACAAGATCTCAACTAGATTCGACTAAGTTTGCAAGGTTTGTGAAATTAAATGTTCATTAGTCATTCAAAGATTTGTTTAAATGATATAAATGTGTATTTGCTGAATGCTGATGGCAAACGAGAAAGTATTATAATGTTTGCCTTTCTATTACTAATAATACTGAAGCAATTGTTTTAATACTTTTTTGTATACATTTTAATTCCTTTGTTTAACAGTTATATCTGATTATTAGATAGACTTATCTATATTAGACAGAACTGAACGACGACAGCGAACAAGAGGGAGAATGTGAGCATTGTGTGCTCAGGCGCTGCCGCTCTCAGCACCGTCAAAATAAAAGTCCGCCTCGACCACATCGGCCAAACAGAAAAACTTATCGGCCGATGCCGATATTTGAAAAATGCCAAATATCGGCCAATATATCGGCCTTGGCGATATATCGGTCGACCACTACTTTTGAGCAGCAGCAAAAGGAGGAAGGACTGGTGAGGAGGTCACCTTCCTTCTCTCCTGCTCACCTGGATGGGCAGCTGCAGACTGTAAGCCAGGTGGGAGAAGACGGACACAGCAGGAAGTGAAACGAGCACAGCCCCGATCACATGACGCGGGAGCCAGCCAGACACCAGCTTCAACAGAGACCGGGTACAATTCTGTACATCATCCAGACAAAACACCATACTGCAGGAGAAAGATGGAGAGATCATTAAAGTTAGGCACGCACTGATATGAAAAACCCAACCGATAAACTGAACATTATTTCCATTTTATGCCTGATAGACAACCAATATTGCAGTTCAACACACAATTTTTTTAATGCTACAAGAGAATTTGGGCATCACAACATTTTAATAGATATAACAATAAAAATAGATACTGTTTTGAGATTTGAATTTCACTGTTAAATCATTATATATAAATTATTTGTCAGTTTTTTTTAAAAAAATCACTTTTAGAGAGATAAATGACGGGAAAACTAATCTAAATATAGAAGGAAATGACAAATGTCCAACTCACCGAATGGACAAAACGAGAGAAACCAGTTCCACCAGAGCAGCTGTGATTGCCAGACAGAGTGTGGTTGCCAGGGGCATCTCCATGGTAACAAGGGGATACAGGAAGCAAGCAAAGGTCAGGGCGAGAAAAACAGCACAAGACAGCAAAACATCAAGCAGCGAGCTGAAGACTGGACTTGCAAACGTCTGCACCGGCACCTGATTCAGCACCTGGAGGAAACGCAGAGAAGATGATACTTAGGTTTAGACCCTGATGCGATGAGGCGGCAGTTCTGTGAATAACCAGAAGAGGTCCATGCATGATTGTTTGAAGATCTACATACTCTCTTTGGCAGGAGTTTGTGTGTGTGTGTGTGTGATTATTTTAGTATCACTGAGATGATATGTGACCCTGGACCACAAAACCAGTCTTAAGTCATTTGTGTATATTTGTAGCAATAGCCAAAAATACATTGTATTGGTCAAAATTATCGATTTTTCTTTTATGCCAAAAATCATTAGGATATTAAGTAAAGATCATGTTCCATGAAGATATTTTGTAAATTTCCTACAGTAAATATAGAGCCAGCCAGACACCAGCTTCAACAGAGACCGGGTACAATTCTGTACATCATCCAGACAAAACACCATACTGCAGGAGAAAGATGGAGAGATCATTAAAGTTAGGCACGCACTGATATGAAAAACCCAACCGATAAACTGAACATTATTTCCATTTTATGCCTGATAGACAACCAATATTGCAGTTCAACACACAATTTTTTTAATGCTACAAGAGAATTTGGGCATCACAACATTTTAATAGATATAACAATAAAAATAGATACTGTTTTGAGATTTGAATTTCACTGTTAAATCATTATATATAAATTATTTGTCAGTTTTTAAAAAAAAATCACTTTTAGAGAGATAAATGACGGGAAAACTAATCTAAATATAGAAGGAAATGACAAATGTCCAACTCACCGAATGGACAAAACGAGAGAAACCAGTTCCACCAGAGCAGCTGTGATTGCCAGACAGAGTGTGGTTGCCAGGGGCGTCTCCATGGTAACAAGGGGATACAGGAAGCAAGCAAAGGTCAGGGCGAGAAAAACAGCACAAGACAGCAAAACATCAAGCAGCGAGCTGAAGACTGGACTTGCAAACGTCTGCACCGGCACCTGATTCAGCACCTGGAGGAAACGCAGAGAAGATGATACTTAGGTTTAGACCCTGATGCGATGAGGCGGCAGTTCTGTGAATAACCAGAAGAGGTCCATGCATGATTGTTTGAAGATCTACATACTCTCTTTGGCAGGAGTTTGTGTGTGTGTGTTTTATTATTTTAGTATCACTGAGATGATATGTGACCCTGGACCACAAAACCAGTCTTAAGTCATTTGTGTATATTTGTAGCAATAGCCAAAAATACATTGTATTGGTCAAAATTATCGATTTTTCTTTTATGCCAAAAATCATTAGGATATTAAGTAAAGATCATGTTCCATGAAGATATTTTGTAAATTTCCTACAGTAAATATATAAAAACTTAATTTTTGATTAGTAATATGCATTGCTAAGAACTTCATTTGGACAATTTTAAAGGTGATTTTCTCAGTATTTAGATTTTTTTGCACCCTCAGATTCCAGATTTTCAAATAGTTGTATCTTGACCAAATATTGTGCTATCCTAACAAACCATACATCAAATGGAAATTTATTCAGCTTTCAGATGATGTACAAATCTCAAAAAAAAAAAAAAAAATTACCCTTATGACTGGTTTTGTGGTCCAGGTTCACATATTATAGTTACATAACATAGATATACATTATAGTTTATTCATATTTTGAATGTTTTTTTTTTATGTTTTCAGTTTTTATTTTAATTTGGTTAACCTTTTAGTATTTAATTTCATATTTTTTTAATGTCTGTATAGTTTTTATTTGTTTTAGTTTATTTATTTTTAGTACATTGTTGAAATGAGAAATGTTGCCTTTGCAACTAGCTGAAATAAAATATTTTTTTGTATTTATTTTTATACTTTTCAGTTTTCTTTTTAATTTTAGTTAACGTTTTAGTAATTTTATTTGAGTTAGTCATTTTTTTGGCTTTTTAAAATACAGTGGGGCAAATAAGTATTTGATACACTGCCGATTTTTCAAGTTTTCCCACTTACAAAGAATGGAGAGATCTGTAATTTTCATCGTAGGTACACCTCAACTGTGAGAGACCGAATCAAAAAAAAAATCCAGAAAATAACATTGTATGATTTTTTAATAATTAATTTCCATTTTATTGCATGAAATAAGTATTTGATACAATAGAAAAATAGAACTTAATATTTGGTACTAAAAAAAAAAAAAATTACCCTTATGACTGGTTTTGTGGTCCAGGTTCACATATTATAGTTACATAACATAGATATACATTATAGTTTATTCATATTTTGAATGTTTTTTTTTAATGTTTTCAGTTTTTATTTTAATTTGGTTAACCTTTTAGTATTTAATTTCATATTTTTTTAATGTCTGTATAGTTTTTATTTGTTTTAGTTTATTTTATTTTTTTTAGTACATTGTTGAAATGAGAAATGTTGCCTTTGCAACTAGCTGAAATAAAATATTTTTTTGTATTTATTTTTATACTTTTCAGTTTTCTTTTTAATTTTAGTTAACGTTTTAGTAATTTTATTTGAGTTAGTCATTTTTTTGGCTTTTTAAAATACAGTGGGGCAAATAAGTATTTGATACACTGCCGATTTTTCAAGTTTTCCCACTTACAAAGAATGGAGAGATCTGTAATTTTCATCGTAGGTACACCTCAACTGTGAGAGACCGAATCAAAAAAAAAATCCAGAAAATAACATTGTATGATTTTTTAATAATTAATTTCCATTTTATTCCTGGCATTTTTTATTCATGTTTTGAATTAGTTTTTATTTTTTATATTTTCACTTTTAGCTAACATTTTTGTAATTTTGTTGTGTTTTGTCATATTTCATAGGTTTTCTTGTGTGTTTTTTTTTTTTAAATATGTCTATATAGTTTTGAATCATTTTTATTTCAGTTTTATGGGGTTTTTTAGTACATCAAGTTAAATCAAACGAAAATGAGAAATGTTGAAATAATTTTTAATATATATTTTAAGTAGTTTTTATGTTTATAATTTCAGCTTTAATTTTTAGTTAATGTTTTGTGTTGTTGTATTTTATCATTGTTTTTGTAGTTTTTTTTAATATACGTCTGTACAGATTTGATTCATTTTTATTTCAGGTTTAGTTTTTAAGCATTAAGTTAAACAAAATAAAAATGAGAAATTGAGAAATGTGGCCTTGGGAATTAGCTGAAAAAAAAGAAAAGTTTATATATATATATATATATATATATATATATATTTTTTTTTTTGTATTAATTTTAGTTAACTATAACCCAGGTATGTACCTCTGCATGGTAGCTGGTGCGATAAGCTGACTCCAGAGATTTTTCAAGGAAGTTCAAGCTCAGCTTGTTAATGGGTGGCTTGAAGAAGTAATCCTTCATCAGACTGAAACAAAGACATTATGGAGAAAACAAGGTGAAAATGAATGACTGAATTACAAAACTACTATTCAAACTAATCTTCTCTTACTCACCTGTCTTCTTTTATCACTTCCACAAAGTGCACGTCGCTTTTTTCCCTAAAGTTCTTGGAGCGCAGCGGGAGGATGGCTGAGTGGTCCATGCCGCTGGCGCTGCCTCCTTCTGCAGCCAGACTTCCCACCCAGCTCCTGTTCTTCTCCTGGAGTTTGTCGCACAGAGACGACTGGCTGACTCGCACCCGCTCCTCACACAGAGGACTCAACAGCCCGTTCAGGGTTTTAGGGCTACAGCCTGCAGGAAACTGTGCAAAAGAAAAATAATTATCTCAAAAGAGTCATTCGTTTAGGATTCAGACACTGGATCAGTTCAAAAGATTCATTTGTTCAGGAATCGTACAGGACTGGTTGTGCTGTAGTGTTCTCATTCTTCAAAATAAATAAAATAAAATAAATAAAAGGAAGTGGTTCCAACGCAGATCACTAAAAGACTTAGTTCGTTTAGGAATTGGACCACACTTGTTGTGATGTAGGTTTAGGTTTTTGATTTCACAAAAAGAATCAGAATCAGAAGAGCTTTATTACCAAGTATGTTTACACACACAAGGAATTTGACTTGAGCAGTTCAAAACAGCCATTCGTCCAGAAATAAGTTATAACGCCGATCACCAAAATGAACGAGTTCAAAAAGAGTCATTTGCATGGGAATCAGACTATGCTGGCCACACTGTATAATTTAGATTTACTAAAAATAACCAGTTCAAAAGAATCATTCATTCGGGAATCAGTTCTAATGCACTCAAAAGTGTCATTTGTCTGGGAATCAGACTACACTGTCCGCACTGTATGTTTATGATTCACTAAAAAGAACTGATTCAAAAGACTCATTTGTTCCAGAATCTGTTCTAATGCAGATCACTAAAAAGAACTAGCTTAAAAGAGTCATTTATTTGGGAATCTGACTACAATGGCCACACTGTTAATTTTTTTAATTCATTCATTCACTAAACAAAAAATGGTTCAAAAGATTCACTTGTTCATGAACTGGACTGCATTAGTCGTGCTGTAGGTTTCTGAATCATCAAAAAGAACCACTCGCCAAGTAATCATTTTTAAGGTTGACTAATTGATTGAACTTCAACATTTAGTATGGAAAAGAGCAGTGTTTTGGTAAAGTCGTATCAAATCTGCCATCTCCTAATGTTTATTTAGGACTAAAGGTATATGAAAACTCTTAGCTGAAGTGTAATTCTCCTACTAATTACATCAATCTTGCATACTATATTTATATAAACAGCCACTAATGACTGGCATTTCAGTGTCTGCTGATGAACACCAGCTGAAATAGTTTTGGGTTCTTGGGTGTGTGCTTCCATTGTGCAATTACTGAGGCTTTTTTGTTGGTCTTCATTCATTGTTGGTTTTATTTTGTACCTTGCTGCTGCTGTTGTCTCTGTGTTCATCCTGGCAGCCATTTCGAGTTGCTTCATCTGCTACAGGATCGTCAACAACATCTACGGAGATGATACAGGATGCACACATAGGCTGCGGAGAGAAAGAGGCAAATAACAGAAAGAAAAAGAATAGCTAAATTAAAAAAAGAAATTACCTGAAGAAAGTTTTGAAATGACTATGTCATTATCATTATCATTATCATCACTACTACTAATATCATTCACTATCACTTGTGTAATTGAAACACCGCATTTATGTGTGTGTGTGTGTGTGTGTATAGAGGGCTGTACCTTGCCGTGCGAGAGAGGTTCAGCGACGGTGCAGTGTGAGAGATCTGGAGTGTGTGTGTTTGAGGATGGACTCAACATCTCGCTGAAGTCTCGGCCCAAACTGAGCTGGGAACAGCCACACTGCGAGCCCATCTTCCATCCCGAGATCAGATACGTCTTTAAACCTACAAACAGAAGACACATGTACAAATGTATGAAAATCCCTTAAGTCTTTCATCTACATATTTCCCAGCAGTCCTTAGAAAGTTTTCCCACAAATCTATAGCACATATTTGTTTGTTTTTTACGTTAAAAACTATAGCTGTGGGGAAAACAAATAATAATCTGATCAGTCCTTTAGAAAGCAAAATGAAAAAGAAACATCAAGATTTTTTGAAAGTTAAACTTTAACAGACATATATATTTTTTTACATTTTTTTCTTTATGGTAAAAATAGATTAAAAATCCGGAACATGCGGTACTTGGTAGATTATTGTTCAAAGGTTTGGGGTTGGGAAGATTTGTAATGTTTTTGAAAACCAGGTTGCTCATTAAGGCTACATTTCTTTGATCAAAAATACAATAAAATAGTAATATTGTGAAATATTATTACCCTTTGTTTTCTATTGTAAGATTATTTTAAAATGTAACTTATTCCTGTGACGCAAAGCTGAATTTTCAGCATCATTACGCCAGTCTTCAATGTCACATGATCATTCAAATATCATTTTAATATGCTTTCTTATCAACATTGAACAGTTGTGGCTGCTTAATCTTTTTGTGGAAACTGTGAAACATTTTTTTATTCAGGACTCTTTGATGAATATAAAGTTTCAAAAAGCATTTATTTGAATTAGAAATCTTATATGATATTATAAATATCACTTTTGATAAGTTCAATGCATATTTGCTAAATAAAAGTATTAGTTCATTATAAAATAGTAACAATCATTAGGATGTATAAGAATTGACTTGCATGGTTTGAAGGTTCAGGTTAAAAAAAATTGTCATTATAATATGTAACTAGTGAATAGCAATTGGTCGGCATAAAGCATACAGCTTTAAGACTTGTTCACACCGGGACGAATATCGCGCGCGATTATCGCCGACGTTTAACGCCTCGTGACTAAAAGGGCGCCAATGTGAGTGTGCACACCGAAGCGCAAAACGGGAGGCGTAAAATCGCCATTTTTTAAAAACCGACTCGGGCTCGTTTTTTTTGGTTTGCCGCGCCACGTTAAAAACTGGCCGACCAATGAGATTGGCGCATTTGTTCACGTGCCTGGAGCTGCTGAAGTTACAGTAAAACACGACTTGGTGGCGCTCAAGCACAAAACGGTCTTGCCGAGCACACATTGATACCTAACGACGAAGAGGAAGTAAGTAGACCAAGAAGATCCTTTGAGTCTCGTTCAGCAAAATGAACAAATCTTTTTTCGAGTCATTTCGTTCATTTTAACAAAATATAATTAAAATGTTATGCGTTACTTCCCTAATATGTCTACTACTTAAGCAAACGTTGATCACACTACAAACTAGGGATGCACGATATATCGGCCACCATATCGGTATCGGCCGATAAATGCTCATTTTTGCTGTCACGCTAACCACCGCACCACACACACACACTCTGCTCCGGTCCAGAGACACGATAACACGGAGCGGATCACAAAATGTATAGGAGCAATTTGAATTCTACACAGAATGCTATATTTTATAGCAATATGGATGAGATTGTGGCTGGTATATCCTGTCAAATGCGGCTTTACAGAGCTCAACGGCTCTGAACGGCTCTAACCCAAACTGTGATATAAACGAACGCTATTGGCTATTTTAAAAAGGGGCGGGGCTGCTTGATATGTCCCGCCCTGTCTTCCTGTTTCAGTTGAAATTACGTCAACAGAGTAACTCTGCGTGTTTCTAAGCATTTCAGGGGACCTTTAAGCGCCATCTAATCAAATGTCAGGGAGTGAATTTGCACGTTCACTCGGCTCATCGCAAGCGAAAATCGCTTGGGTATGAACACAAAAGACGCGTTGAAAAACGTTGGCGATAAGCGAGCGCGATAATCGTCCCAGTGTGTACGAGGCTTCAGGCTACAAGATTAATGATTTATAACTGTAAAATGAACTGTAATTGGATGATCTCGTTTCCGCAAATCTTCTCTCCCTGTGAGGGCAAACAACATCTGATCCAGCACTGATACTACACAACGAGTGCTTAAAAGCACCTGAGCAGGTTTGTTTCAGCGCTGGTGTTTACATTAAACAATACTAAGCACGAGGATGAGCGCTTCTGTTGTACCAACACACACTCTCGAGTGCACAATGGAGAGGCTCTGTTGTACCAATACAGGAGAAAACAAACAGAAAGCAATTATCAGCCTGTTCAAACATACGGCTCACGAGCTAACCACGTTACGCTTATATATAATCTTCGAAAACACACACAGACTAAGTGTCAGCGCTAACACCGCTGCGGGGAAATGCTTGTGCATATTTGTACATAAACTACTTTGTGTAGCCTGCAGGAACACTTTCTCAAAAGCTCAGGCGAGTTCCTCGAGCAGCTTCTGGGAGACATGAAAGACGCGGCAGAGAATAAACAGGTCTGTACTCTCGGTCATAACTCACCTGATTTGTGAGCGAGCAGCCTAACAAACCCTCAAAAGATCAGCTCTGCTGTTTCTCACACACATACTGTACACACAGCAGCACAACCATGCAATAGTCTACGCCAGGGGTCGCCAACAGGCAGACTTCGGTCCCAATCCGAACCATGAAGCCTTTTGACATAATGAAATAAATAAATGCCAAACACTGTTTTCTAATAAAATAAAATTTCTATCAAGCACATCAAAGTCAGCTCAGTAGAGCGTCACGGGTTGATACTGTTGCTACGTTCAGACGTTTTAAGGCTGAAATGTGAAGTTTATAGTTTTATAAAACTTTTTGTTTTTTGTGAAAACCTGTATCTGAACTGTAAATCATGCTTTTTACAGTCATAAGACTTTTTAAGACATGCACAAATAAAATTACTAAGTTTGAGCTTAAATATCCTGCAAATATCCTGGTCTGGCAAAACCAGTCAATTTATGTTTTTCTATATAATTGTCCGGACCTCGGCTGATGAAGAGGGTTCATTACTGGACCTCAAGCAATTTTAGTTGAAGACCCCTGCTCTACGCAGTTATTTAAAATGTTCATATAATTGTGATAACCATTATTGTGCAATTTAAATGCTAGTCACATACTGCCAGCCAAAAAATAAAAAATAAAGAAATTAAGTGAATATATTATAAATATTAAATGTAGCAAATGTTGCAACAAGCAAATGTCAATGTTGATAACAGCATTATTATTATTATTATTATTAGAGAAACAATATTTATTTTTATTTTAAATATGTATTATATATTTTACATTTTATTATTATTATTACAAAATATTAAAGGTTTAATTATTATTATTATTATCATTGAATAAAAATAGATGAGAAACATTCAGTACAATTATTTTATGTTTTATGTTATTAGTATTATTAACAACAATACATTTTATTAAATAATAAGAGAAACATCTAGTAAAATTGTACATTTTATTTTATAATTTATAAAATATTTTACAAAATATATTACTATTTTTATTAATATATTATTATTTTTTATTATATTAATATTAGTAGTAGTAGTACTAAAAGAGAAACATTATTATTGTTTCTCTTATATTTATATAATATTATAATATTAGTACTATTATTATTTCTATAATGATAACAAGACAACAAAAACATCTATTATTAGTAAATATTCATATTTAAAATTGAATTAAAAATGTCATTCTACCCATGTGCAATATTTGTTACATTTATTTTTATATTTAAATTGTATATTACCGTCATTTTTTGAAAATAAGTAAGAATCACATAAAACAATAAGACCAGTTTTCTGATGTTTCATTTATACTCTTCACAAGTCAACCTACAAATGGCTTATTATTTACACATTAAACTGGTCGAATAATAAAAAGTGTCTGATGTGCAAATTTTAACAGTGCATGACAGAGTCTGTGGTATTAAGATGCAACTTCAGGATGTGGCGATTTTCCCTCTCAAAATGATGTACTTTCCCATCACCAGCACATACTTTCAGTGCATATCGCAAGCTTGCAAACTGATATTCAGCCACTGTTTCATGATCAGCCACAATGAGCCACTAACACAAGGCCGTTTCTGAACAAGCTTGGAGCCAAAGTACACACAGATCGGTACATATAAAATTGACAGCCGTCCAAACACAATCGGGCTGCAGAAGCCACATCAATGAGCCATTCACAAACATCCCTTTTAGCCTCTTTGTGCTTAGAGACGCAGATTAATAAAGACCTGAGCCATAATCCAGAACAGAGCTAATAAGCTTCTGGGTCAGAACCTGTATGAGCTGGATGGCCATGTGGACTAGGGCTGTGCGAATAATCGAAATAGTCATAAAATCGCGATTTGAGCATGCACGATTTCTAAATCGCTTTATAGCACGCAGTCATGCTGCGATCGTTTCCGCATGGAGTCCATTTCTGCTGTGCTGTATGCACAGCGCATTATTCGCGGTAAAAATTTACATGGATTGACACGGAAATTTAGTAATTACACCATAAATGCATATAATTAAAGTCTACTGTTTCACAGTCAACACATGGCTAGATTTAAAAGTGCACTTTTAGATAAACAACGCAATAATAGATGGCACTCGTGGTGGTAGTTAAACAAATGTATATTTATTGAGTTTAAACGTGAATATGTCTATGAAAGATTGTATTACTGTACTGTGATAAAAGAGAATAACAATGCTGAAAAAGCATTTTCAGAAACAACGTTTGGATTTGAAATCAAAATAATGGATAAATGTCGTGTTTGTGGTACACAGCCGCGGATCAGGAGCGGATTGCAAACGCGTCCTGTGCGAAAGCAAAATGAGTCCGTGCTGCTTCTGCACCACATACACATACTGTATACACACTGCAGACGGAGTTCTGTGAACTTGGCACAACAAATCTAGTTCAACATCTGAGGCAACGCCACAAAGAGCTCTATGACCAATGCATGGCAAAAAAAATCCCTGGACACGGGATTTTTTTCTTCCTGCCATACGTCTATTCTAGAGACATTTTGTTACACCTTTACTTAGTGA